ACGTCTACCTTTTGTCGTAGTTCTGAACACTGAAATCTATTTCATGAATAAATTTAATTCATATCTGGATCTTTATGTCCTCTAGTTTTATTTAAAATATTAGAATTTTATTTGAGATCGGTTTCTTTCCTATAGGATCTACATCTATGAATCGATATTCATTTCCTAGAAGCTTCAGACGGCGTGATTTTCTCAGTGATTATAATGAATATAGGCCTATATGGATGGACAGATAAATGAATGCGATTTTCATATATACGTGTATAGACCAGTTTGAGGCCGCAAGCTGGACATGAACGTATTTTTAAAAATATCGCAGAGGAAATTGTTTTCCTTTGTAAGATCTTCTCTAGCATTTTCAACTCTTACATCGACCATGTAAACATTGAATCGTCGGCACATTACTGTGTAAACATTTAATTGTTGTGGTAAAATGCTTTATTCGTCGTATTTGGTAAAAAATTGAAACTTAACACACTTCTTCTGACAGAAAAGAAAAGTTTCTTTTTGCAAGTTTTCACATATCTAGCAAAAAATGCGCGTGTAAGAATGACAGACGAAACTAAGAGAGGTTAATTCTGACAATCGAGGTACTACGGAGGTACCAGGTATACCAGAGAGAGAAAATTATTTTGAGCATATTACATTTATAAAAAAAAAAAAACAAAAACATTTCAACTCATCATGCTCACGGGAATATATTTGAAAAACGAAATTTGATTTTTTAAAATTCACGAGGACATAAACTAAGACGTTTCACCTCAGCATATTTCATGAACCGCGTGAGCATGAAGCGCAAATTTATAATTTATGTCATTCAACGATTATATTTGAAACAAACAGTTTGCACTATAGTTTTGACGTCAAGTGTGGCATTATGACGTCACAATGGAGATATGTAGGCTTACCTAGTTCATGAAAAAATGAATTGTTTTCTAACTTGCAATGAATCTGAAGGAAAAATATTTGCAAAATGTAAATATTAAATAGCAAATCATAAAATTTGTCAAATAAGATAATAGTTAGGATTTTTATATACGGTGTATATTGCAGGTACAAGTTCTCTGAAAAAACTATTCATTCAATGTGTTCAAGTGACTCTCTCCCCACCCCCCCTTTCCGATTCCAAGTCACAGTGTAGAGAACTCGATGAGTGTTCAGAGCATGAACAATTTGGCCCTTAGACCACTGTGCACTGGTTTAGAATGTATATACATGTACTTATGTTGATATAATAACGGAATGAATATTTTGGAGATGGGGGAATAAAAAAAAATATGCATATTGTTGTTTTTTGTGTACATTATACTTATATCATTCTGCTATCATTCTGCTCTACGTATAAAATGAGCAACCACTACAAGATTTTCAGGAAAAATATGCATATTGTTGTTTTTTGTGTACATTATACTTATATCATTCTGCTATCATTCTGCTCTACGTATAAAATGAGCAACCACTACAAGATTTTCAGGAAAAAATATTTATTAATCTATACGTATTTTCTATAGTTTTTAACAGATTATGCATATTAAAGGTTCAGCAACAAACCATCAAATTAAAATTTATGAAATCTTTTAATAATTTAGGAAGGGGGGGGGGGGTATTGAAATGCATGTAGCTTAAAAAAGAATGTGACGACCCCACTTCATATTTTAACAATAAGTCACTTATAATAATTGTTACAAAATATATTCATTTTAGGAAAATTCATTGGGCAATTTTTTGTCAAGACGTTGAAAACTGCTCTTGGGGTGAAAATATTACTGCAAATTTACAATGACTACTCCCCAAAGCAACTGTGGCATTAGTACATCTATCAATAGTTTCCGATACAATTTTTATTTCCGATGAATATAAAGCATATTATTTAATATCTGGTGAAAATTATTTAATTTGTTTCAATTTTGATACCTGTATGGCATAATTTAAAAATTCACTACATAAATATCAAAATATTGAAAAACGGTGGTTACCATGGCAACCATATCTTCCTTATAACCCTGATGACCATGGTTGAAATTTTCATATTATGATACCATTAACGTAAGGCAAATTATATGTAAAAATGAGAAAAATTCATAGAGCGGATTTTTTTCATGTACCCTTGCAATCTCTTCCTTAAGAACATTTTAAACTGTTAAATAAATTTAAATAATGAATAAAAAATCTGTGATTATATTTATAACAAATAAGAAATAAATATAGTGAAAATACATACATGTACCAGTTCGATAGGTGTCGGTCTTGATCATGATTCAATAATGCCACTGCATCAGCTGTGCATGATTATTCGTGTTATTAAAATATTTGTATCAAATGAATATAATTGTTTCTGCATACTTCTGCAAAAAGGAAAATATTTTTAAATTGAAGTAATGTGTGTGGCGAGTTTTTTGGATAATAAACAAAGGAAACTAATTCATTTGTATTTTACATCCAGTTTACTGCAAACAGATGAATGGAGAAAATTCGGATAAGAAAGAAAGTGATGGCTTTTAGAAATAAATATTTTTTTTAAATTGTATTACCTGATTTGTCATAAGGTTTTTGTTGTTGACAAGATTCCAAGCTTATGAATCTTTTTCTCTCTTGAAACAACATGAATTTTCCTTGAGTCAGTGCTCCCGAACATCCAAAGGTTGCCGACATTTTTTGTTTCTATCACAGAAGAGCTTCCAAGGGAGGTAATTCATGACAATAAAAGATGGGAAAAGTACCCATCATTATGATAAAAAATCCTTTCAATTTAAGTCCACTTAAGAATGCTTCTCAATTTTAATTTTGATATAAACAGTAATAATGTTAACCTTTTTGAGAATAGCATCAGATATATATTTTCTTGTTGTAGATTTGAGAATTCAGTCACCGAAAGAGGGTCAAAAATAGGCTAAGTGCATGTAGAAAAACTAATAGAAATTTAAAAGTTTTTGTTCACATGCAGACAAAATATAAAAAAACTAATTTTTAAAAAAGTTTTAATCAGTTCTATTAATATTTATTGATTTTTTATTTCTTGTACTATGCAAAAGTACTGCAAATTGACTGAATCTGAATTTTTCTAAAGCGTGTATTTTACTTACTTTGATATATGGTTACCCTGGAAACGATTTGGTTGATCATTGTAAAATTTTACCACAAATGATCAAACTGTTAAAGAAGTTTATTAACGCAAAAATCCCGAAATTTTCAAATTTTATAGTTTCCATCAATTACACTGAGTAAGCTTGATGATTCGTGACATTCTCTCTTAAATTTCTTTGATATAACCAAGGTATGCTAACGAAAACATGGAAAAGAGGTGTGTCCAATTTACCTGAAAAGTTCAAAACTGTGCTCGCGCTTTCTGTAGCGATGTGTTTGTCTACCATATCTATGGAGCATGTGTACATCCCGGACAGAGAGCAAGCATCCTTCGAAGTTGCAAAATCCAAGACAAAGGAAACATTCACGAAATACGAATCTACACTCAAAGACGCATTTATTCGATTTTCATTCGAGGTTTTGCTGCTGTTTGTCACGCTTACGATTGTTTGAGAGATTAAAGATTCGCTTTGAAAGTCTAACCGAACAGCCTCCCATTCAAAACTGCTCACATTGAAATGACACAGCAATTCTATTGTTGTTTGTATCGTAATGACATGGCTCGAAGTATCCATTACAGCAACCACTGAAAAATACGGATAATATCGGTAAAGAATTTTGTAGACTTTGAAAGTCTTAGACAAAGCATTGCAAGAAACAAAAATCAGCAAAGATAGCTCTCAAAGAAATAAAACATCCCTTATTACTAGAAAAAGTGATATGGTCGGTAACTCCCCAATTAAACCCATGAAGACAAATTCGAGATAATACCACCTTATACTTATTGCTCATTTCAAATGATTGTAAAACACTCTAAAAGGTTTAGTTCAGAAATGAAATTTATGAAAGAAACTTCTCGTTTCTGAATCTGAAATAGCATCATTAGTAGGAATGAAACACCTTCCACAAATCAAGAGAGAAAACAATTCAACTTAATAAAAAACATTTCCAACAATGCGACTGAATTGTTATTATGAAATTGAATTAAAGTCTCCTTTGTGTTTGTGGGAGCAGTGTCACATCTCATAATGATATGCATTTGGGTACATACCTCTAATTATTTTTAGAATCTGTAGGGGAAGAAAGTAGTGCAGAAAAAATGACAAGTTCCTTAATTTGCAGACCTGAATAAAAAAAACTGTGATAATGTATTAAACTGAGCCTCATACTTGTTGATAAGGAGTATGTTCCCTTGCAAAAAAGCTTGGCAGATGTAATTTATCAATAAGATTAGCAGAATTATTTTATGTATTATAACACCAGTGAGAAGTCTGGAATTCCCCTACTTTCACTTTCCTTTTCAGAGATTAACGCAGACAGACGCATTTTGCCGGAAAACGAATCTGACATGCCACCTCGAGATTTTAACCAAGGAAAGACAACTTGATGTGCTTTGATTTGAGGGGTCACTCACTGCTGAACGAAAATTAGGGACATTGCTATGTGAAGAAACGTTAACATTGCCGCCTATGGGAAAACAATTAGTGAACTGTACCCAATATGTGGAGCCTATTGGTAAGAGAAAATTCTCATAGATCTTTATTTTGTTTTGAACTCGGTGTTTATTATCATTTCCAATTGTTTAAATTTATGAAGGAAGCACATTTTAATTTGTTTATACATATTTTGAAACAAATTGATTTGTTAATAGCCCCCCCCCCCCTTACCCCCTTAGTAACAGACAGCTTATGCTCATATCTTCCATTGTGTACACATGTACATGTAGCATGTAAATTAAATGTATCGATTTTATACAATTTATTAATTCAGAGCCATTAATAGATATTTAGAAAAAGAACAGTTATTTTAGAAGTACATCTACCACTATTGTTTATTTTCAATACACAAAAATTCACAAATGAGGTCGGAATCGGTATTCAGTGAAGTTCAAGGTCAAAGTGAAAGTAGAGTGGCAGTAAGTTATCGGAACTGCTTAGTGCTACCTAGTGCAGAGTCTTGCAGTATGTAGGTGATATGCACTTGTCATTTTATGAAAGAGGTAAAGAAAAAAAAAGGTTTCCATGCCTTATTACAATATTTGTAAATGAAAACTTTTATTTTCATGGAAAAGAATTATATGAATGAGGACATAGTATATGTAGCATAATGATTTTTTTTTATCTTTATTATTTTTTTATATTTACTTTTCTTATTCAGTAGATTAGTATGTTTTTATTATTTTACTTTTATTCTTAGACTAGATTGTTTATCAATGTCTTGACCCAGACTGCGAACAGGTCATGGGGAGCTGTTAATTAGGTTAGGAGGAGGTTTTATACAATGGTAGTGATTTATAGTGTTTAGACTTTATAGCTTGACCTTAGTTTACTTTAGGGGAGACATTAGGAGGAGTAAGAGGAGTCATAAACTATATAAGCAGGCTCATTTTATAATGAGAGGGGAGTAATTTGGGGGAGTAATTTGAAAGAGTAGTTTAATAATGGGAATTTAACTTGAGTTACATTGGAATAATTATTTTAAGTGCCTTTCATTCAATTCTTTTGGATTTATACTTTGTGACATTGATTTGAATTATATTTTATTTTCATTTGGATTTAATAAACATTTTACCGTTATTTTGTGTTTTATTACAAAGAGGAATTATGATTGAGAGCTACCAAAATATGAATGTGAAAAGGATTTACTCGGAAACGCTACAAATGGTGGCAGCGGTGGGATAATTTGTTGATAATTTGTGGATTTTATTGTGAACTAAAATGGATCTTAACGGACCTAAATTTGCAAATGTGTTGGATTATAGTGATTCTGGAGATTTGATTTTCATTGGATTTATTCGTGTTGATAATCGGAAAGAGTGTCCAAATTGTTTTGTTATGTTTTTGAAGAATGAAAACCATCATAAAATTTGTGCGGACAATGGAAAAATCATTACTCAATATTATAGATGTCCAAGTTGTAAATGCAGGATTAAGGCACATGTTAAATAGAGAAAACGTTGAATGAAAAATGGATGAAACGTCGTATTCGTTAATGGACATGGAAATTACAAATTGTGACAGAACTCCGAAACAAAGGACGCCGGGACTATTTTCAAATTCGGGAATTTCAAATGTCAGGCGAAGATTGGAGGATTCATTTGTGGACGAAAATTCACCTGAAACTGTGCAAAATAGGAGACTTCAGGGAGAAAATTCTTCACATCCAAAATGGAATATGTTAACATTATTTTGGATTTTAATGATTTTCTGTGGATGTGTTTCTGTTCTTGGATTATATCGTTATTTTCCGGGATACATGCTTCTTTGCCTGACCAAGGAATTTCTTATTTCCGTTGGAATTGTTACGCTGTGTTTATTGATCATAAGTTTGATTGCAAAATTTTCTAAGGGATCAATCAAATCAGAAAATGGATGGAATATCTATCAAACTACACCAGGAAAATGTGGCAATGGCAAAGAGCGCAATATTGGAACATCATTTCCGGAATCCACACATCAAGTCAATGTAAAGCGTACTTTCAGAGGAGATGGAAATGAAATATGGACCGAATTCATAAGATATTTTGAAAATGTTGCTGTTCTCAATAACTGGAATTTTGATCGTAGAAGACGAATTTTATTTACTACCTTGAGAGGACAAGCCGAAACATATGCTTATGGATTATCAGATGAACAGAGAAATAGTTATGAGGAACTAATCAAGGCAATGGATAATAGATTTGGACACAAGGCAATGAAGGAAAGTTATGTTGCAGAGGCAAAACTACGAAGAAAGAAGGAAGGTGAATCATATAGGGATTTTGCTCAGTGTCTGGAAGATTTGTATCGAAGAGCTCACCCTGAAAGCCGAGAGTATGTTCAAGAATGTAGTCTAAAGACTTTCCTTGATAACTGCAGTGAGATGGAAAATTTTAGGCTTGCAGTTAGGAGAACTAGACCTAAAACATTACAAGAAGCAGTAACGGCTGCAATGCAAGAAGAATGCATAAGGATTAGTGAACAACAAAACAGAGATCCGAAAACCTTGACAAAGCCCAGAATTTATCAAGTTAGCCAGCCAAATGATGGGAGTAATGGATTTGATAATATGAGACAACGTGTGAAGAAGGCTTGTTTCAAATGTAATTCAACACAACATCTTCTAAGGAATTGTCCTGTCAAAAATAAGGGGAACATAAGCAGTGCAATGAGTGGAACTGTCAAACAGTTAAACAGCGGGAGACCGAGGCAGTAGGCCGTGCGTTGGTCGCTGATATGAATAGGCCTAGTACAGAAGAGATAACTCACAGTAATTTACAAGTAGTTAATAACAGAGCTCATGAGGAAGCATGTAATACTGATTCTATGGATATGAAGCTCAATGAAAGTGATTATTGTGATGTTCTTGAGAAGAATACATCTGACATTTTAATCCCAGGAAGGAATGGATTTTTGGTTAATGGTTTAATTCAGGGAACACCAGTAACATGGAAAATTGACACAGGAGCGAGGAAAACTTTTATCGCTGAAGAAACATTTTATAGCATTCCTTTGGATAATCGTCCTGTACTAGAGCAAGTGAAAAGTAAATTTTTATCAGCTGATGGACGTAAACTAAAACTTTTGGGTACTGCTAAAATGATTCTTACTTTGAAGGATGTTGAATTTCGTGTTTTTTGGAGGAGTCACACATGATTTACTGGGAGAAGATTTCATTGTGAAGTTCAAGTGTAATTGGAACTATCAACATTGTGCTTTGAGTTTTACATATGATCAAGAAAATGATGTGAATGAAGTTTGTCCAACGAGAAAAATTTATAATCTGGATTCTTTTACCATACCAGGCAGACATGAATTTGTTGTAAGATCTATGCTTATGAATGCTGATGGGAAAATTGGAATACCAATGCCTTTGAAAACTTTCGTTAGTTCGTATAAATTAGGAGTTGCCAGAACACTTCTTGATTCAAGCAATACAGAGTTTTACATTCGGTTAATCCAGAGGACCATGCAATTACAGTACCGAAGCATACTGAAATAGCATTACTTGTACCTGTTGCATATGTGAGTCAACCAATTTGTGACAAAGGAAAAATTATAGCAACAATTAGCCAGGGAGATACTCAAGAATTACCAGAGTACCTGAAACCAGTCTATGAAAACGGAATTACAAATTTAAATTCTCAAGAGTCTGAAAAGTTCAAGGAATTTCTCATTGAAAGGAGAAATGTGTTTGCTGACCCGGATGGAGTTTTGCATAGAACCAATATTGGTGAGCACAGGATAAATTTGAGTGACGGAACGCCGTTTAAGGAGGCGCCGCGGCGGGTTCCATTGTTTAAAAGGGAAATTCTAGATCAAGAAATATGGAAACTACTTGATCAGGGAATTATTGAGAAATCCAGCAGTCCATGGTCGTCGCAACTTGTTCTTGTTCAGAAGAAGGACAAAAGTTGGCGAGTTTGTGTGGATTATCGTCGTTTGAATGCGAAGACGATAAAGGATGCATATCCGATACCTAGGATAGATGATAACTTGGATGCATTGGCTGGATCTGTTTGGTTTTCGTCTTTGGATTTGAATATGGCTTATCACCAAGTACCTATGTCAGATCAGGACAAGGAGAAAACAGCATTTGCTACACCAAGAGGAGGGTTATATCAGTACAATGTTATGCCTTTTGGATTATGTAATGCTCCAGCGACTTTTCAGAGAATAATTGAAAGAGTGTTAAGTGGTCTACAGTGGAATGTAGCTGTACTTTATTTAGATGACATCATTGTCTATGGAAAAAGCTTTGATGAGCATTTGGAGAATTTAAAGCAAGTATTGGATAGACTGGAAGACGCTAATTTGAGGTTGAAAGCAAAGAAATGTTCATTTTTCAAGAAAGAGGTGTCATTTCTTGGATATGTTGTTTCTAAGACTGGAATCAAGACAGACCCTGCTAAAACTGAAGCAATAGAAAAGATTTCAATACCAAAGAATGTCACAGAATTAAGGAGTTTTCTAGGATTAGTATCTTACTATCGGAAGTATATTAAAGATTTTGCTAATATTGCAAAGTGTTTGCATTCTCTGACTAGCAAAAATAGCAAATGGATATGGACAGAAGAGTGTGACCGAGCTTTTATTGAACTAAAGAAGAAACTACAAAATGCACCAATATTAGGATATCCAGATGTCGATGGTGGAAGTTTTATATTAGACACGGATGCAAGTAATGAAGCCATTGGATGTGTTCTTTCTCAAATCCAGAATGGGAGAGAAAAAGTTATTGCATATGGAAGCAGAACACTGAGCTCAGCTGAGAAAAACTATTGTGTGACGCGAAAGGAAATGTTAGCTGTTATCTACTTTGTGAAATATTACAAACATTATCTATTAGGAAGAGAATTTATCTTGAGAACAGATCATGGATCTTTAACCTGGCTTCATAAATTCAAAGAGCCAGATGGACAAATTTGCCGATGGTTGCAACAGTTAGGACCATATAACTTTACAATTATACATAGGGCTGGAAAACAACATGCAAATGCTGATGCACTTTCAAGATTACCAAAAGAGGATTTACATGAAAAAACATGTAAACAGTGTATACAAAAACATAGTGTCTATGATGGTGACTTAGTGACTCATGTGAAAGATCTGCGGGAAAATTCAAAGGAGACTATCGAGGGGGCAAATGACATCATCTGTGACATTTTCCAGTTATTTAATGTGACAAGTGAGGATGAAGAGAGGAGTGATTCTGAGCCTGAAACAGTACCAACTACAAGGAGAAAACGTAATCGTCCACGTCGTGCTAAACAACGAGAAATACCAGATCTACAACTTACGTATGAAGAAATTCGTAATCAACAAGAAAATGACAAAGGAATTGGGCCGATTCTTCAATTATTTGAAAAATTTGGATCTGAAAACAAACCATCTAGTAGTGTAATCACAGAACTTGATCCTGAGTGTAAGTTTTGGTACAATAGATGGGAAATTCTAGAAATCCATCAACATGTTTTGTGTGTTAAATGGATGGAATTGAATAAAGTGAGATTGAGGATATGTACACCAAAATCAATGCGTGATGTTGTGATGTGGTATCTCCATGATTCACCAGTTTCAGGACACCTTGGAATTCAGAGGAATATTCGTAAAGTGAATCAAAGTTCTTATTACTGGCCAAATATTCGTGAGTATGTGACCGATTATGTGAAATCGTGTTATGTGTGTGAAGAAAGAAAGAATCCACAACGACAAAAGCGAAGTATTATGGAATCGTTCATTGCAGGGGGACGTTGGGAAAGAATAGCAGCAGATATTGCTGGACCGTTTCCAAAAACAGCTAGTGGAAATGTGTATATTCTTGTGGTAGCAGATTATTTTACAAAGTTTGTTGAAATATTCCCGATTCCAAATATGGAAGCTGAAACTGTCGCTAATGTTATATTCAAAGGATGGATTAAACGTTATGGATGCCCTTATGCGTTACATACAGATCAAGGCCGACAATTCGAAAGTCAACTTTTTCAAAACTTGTGTTCATTACTTGGAATTCATAAAACACGTACAACTCCGTTTCACCCAAGATCAGATGGAATGGTAGAGAGGTTGAACCGTACAATTAAAGATATGCTGTCAAAATACATTTCCTTACATCAAAATGATTGGGACAAATTCATCGATGGAATTTCCATGGCTTACAACAGTACTGTGCATGAAACAACTGGAATAAGTCCGTACCGAATGTTATTTGGAACAGAAATGGTCATGCCGGTTGATTTATTCTCTGATCAGGATAATAATGTCATAAGTGACTCAAACAATTATCATGACTATGTTCGTGAGTTGAAACAAAAATTAGATCAATGCCATGAAATTGCTAGAGAAGAAACCAAGAAAAGTAGCCAAACCCAGAAGAAAAATTATGATCAAAATGTGAGAAAAATTCAATACTGTGTTGGTGATACTGTGTGTCGTTTCCAACCTCAGCAAATATTAGGAACCAAACTTAAACTTGCAAGAAATTGGAGTGGACCTTGGGTAGTGACTGAAAAACTCAGTGGTGTGTTATATCGAATTCAACATTCTATTTCTTCAAAACCTGTCGTAATTCATGCGGACAATCTTAAACCATTAAAAGTGAACAAGACAACTTATTTGAAACTGCAACGCATTATTCAGAAAACTACAAATAGTGAACCAGATGTCATCATTCCAAATTTATGTCCAAGTGATGAAGTCCCCGAAGACATTGAAGATCAATTTAACAACACTGGAAATTCTGAAGCCGAAAACACCTTGCCAGTTAAAGACAAGACCCAGGATATACCGTTAGAGAGGAGCAGGGAGGAGAATAATGGACATTTGTCAACCCCAACCCAGATGGAACCCAAGAAAACAAGACTGGGCAGGCTTATAAAAACCCCAACAAGATTTAGAAAATAAACACTTAAAATTTACTCTATGTGAAAATGTTCCAATGTTTTGACTGCAATATTACGTACAAATATAAAAGGAATTTACAAAGACATTTAGAAGAACACCATTTTTCCAAGAAGAAAGTTTATCAATGTGACATTTGTCAACGGATATTTACAAGGAATTTCAACTTTAAAAGACATTATTTTTCGCAACACAGTTTAATGGAAGTTTTAGATGACCTTTCACCAGAAGATATTCCAAATTTTTCTAATGACCGGAATATGGATTTTACCGTGAAAAGTGATTTATATGAGGATATTTCATCTGATGAAGAAGAGTTCGAGCCATCAAAAGATTCTGAGGATTGTGACAAAACAGAAGAGAGTGCCGAGAACAGTAATGAGGAAGAAAAAGACAATGTTTCTGAGGAAAAGAAATCCATTACCATCCAGTTAATTCATAGGAAAATTAATCACAAGGACGGACATTCAGAAATTGTTAAAGAGATAAACTTTTCTTATACCAAAGAAATGAGAGAGGTGCCAGTGATGGACTTGATATCAGATTTCATGGACGATTTCTTGGACAATTCTAATGAGAGTAATAAATGAACTGTGACCGTGTATAAATTTGTAAATAGATGACATTTTAATATTTTTTTTAATTCATCATTTATAAGTATTTTTGTTTTAAAATGCCATTATTTTGCATATTTTTGATGATGTACATGATTGATTTTGTTTTATCATTTGCTTTTATTATTTACATTGTCTTACTTTTGTTTGAAAGGCTTTTATTTTTGTTTAATTGTTTTTGTACGGGGTACAAAGCTAAGCAGGGGGAAATGTAGCATAATGATTTTTTTTTTATCTTTATTATTTTTTTTATATTTACTTTTCTTATTCAGTAGATTAGTATGTTTTTATTATTTTACTTTTATTCTTAGACTAGATTGTTTATCAATGTCTTGACCCAGACTGCGAACAGGTCATGGGGAGCTGTTAATTAGGTTAGGAGGAGGTTTTATACAATGGTAGTGATTTATAGTGTTTAGACTTTATAGCTTGACCTTAGTTTACTTTAGGGGAGACATTAGGAGGAGTAAGAGGAGTCATAAACTATATAAGCAGGCTCATTTTATAATGAGAGGGGAGTAATTTGGGGGAGTAATTTGAAAGAGTAGTTTAATAATGGGAATTTAACTTGAGTTACATTGGAATAATTATTTTAAGTGCCTTTCATTCAATTCTTTTGGATTTATACTTTGTGACATTGATTTGAATTATATTTTATTTTCATTTGGATTTAATAAACATTTTACCGTTATTTTGTGTTTTATTACAAAGAGGAATTATGATTGAGAGCTACCAAAATATGAATGTGAAAAGGATTTACTCGGAAACGCTACATATACATGTGCATTCTTTCAAAGAAGTTGGTCAGGCTACAGTTCTGTGGAAGTTAAGCAGTGTGTGCGTGAACATGCACACTAACATTTTTTATATTTTACATGTATTAACTGCATTACATGTATTTATCTAATGTATAATTATTGTCAGTAAACCTGCTTTTTACCTGTATTATTAATTTACATGTAATTTAACAATGTTGAGACTAATCAGCGCAAATTCATTATTTTAAATTGATATCAAATTATGGGCATAAAAGGAATGTGGTAGAATTGTGTGTGTTTGATGTCTGCCTGTGAATGTTTTAGGTGCTTTTGATGCTGATAAATTATTGCACCATTTTTTAAATTGATTTTTCTTTTAGGTTCATGGTGATACAGGACAACTTTGAGGTTCATGCAGATGGTGTTTAAAGCTATCAGTCAGTAAAAACAAACTCATTTGAACACATCTTGAGTCTTCACATGTAAAATGATGACAGTACTTTCAATATGTAAGTTGAATTTTCTAAAGCTTCTTTGTGTGTGTGTGTGTGTGGGGGGGGGGGGGGTGGAGGGGAGGGAGGTGGTGTTAAAGCTTAGAAAATGTAGATTTTAAATGAATATTTGAGCTATGAAAGTGACCATCAAACTAATCTGTACATGTATGCTATATATTTTACAGCTAATATAATTTGAAAAGAATTTCAAAACAATATTTAACATTCATAGTGTTGTGTATGATAAAATATTAAGATTAAAAAATATTAGAGTTAAAATTTCTTTAATATTTGTCAGTCAAAACGAGCGACTTGTAAGGAAATTCAAAATTTTCAAAGTTCTCTTTCATTTTTCTACAAATTACAAAATGGTTACCATGGAAACAAAACATTTTCTGTAGACTATTTATTTGATTTGCTCATGCAAGTATTGTTATAATGAATATTTTAGTTCTAATTTCATCTTTATTTAAAAGTACGGGAAAAGTAACACTACATGTGTAATAAGCAATCCATTATTATGATGTCATTATGACGTCATAGATGAGTGAACTTGCATTGGCGTAAGAATTGCTTTGAAACAGATGAATGTACACAAGAATATATAGGCTTATAACTTTTTCATTCCTTCACCAATTTCCCTGAATGATACATCAATGGACAGGAAATAATCAGTATTTTCTATTTTTACTACTTTCGGGGTATTTGTAAACTTAATTTTTTTGTCTATCATGGAGAAACAATGAATTCAAGGGTGAGGGATGATCAAATTTTGTGCGAAAATGCATTGATTTTTTGAAATAAGAGAAATGGACCCATATGAGTGCATGATTATAATTTTGCTTGATGTATTTAAAGTCATGAAAGAGAATAAAAATGGTATAAGTACATTAATAGGTTAACCGATGACTTAAAATGTGGGTGCAGTTGTGGCTAGATGGAAGCATTTTTAAAGGATTTTGCATATAGAACTGTGCATGCTGTAAAATCTTTATTAATGATTGAATTTTCCTGAAATTTGGCATAGTGTCACTACATAGACTGTAGTATGACTTATGATGTAAAATGTTGTAAAATCCAGAAAATACTTTTTCATATTGGGTACATACCTCTAATTATTTTTAGAATCTGTAGGGGAAGAAAGTAGTGCAGAAAAAATGACAAGTTCCTTAATTTGCAGACCTGAATAAAAAAAACTGTGATAATGTATTAAACTGAGCCTCATATTTGTTGATAAGGAGTATGTTCCCTTGCAAAAAAGCTTGGCAGATGTAATTTATCAATAAGATTAGCAGAATTATTTTATGTATTATAACACCAGTGAGAAGTCTGGAATTCCCCTACTTTCACTTTCCTTTTCAGAGATTAACGCAGACAGACGCATTTTGCCGGAAAACGAATCTGACATGCCACCTCAAGATTTTAACCAAGGAAAGACAACTTGATGTGCTTTGATTTGAGGGGTCACTCACTGCTGAACGAAAATTAGGGACATTGCTATGTGAAGAAACGTTAACATTGCCGCCTATGGGAAAACAATTAGTGGACTGTACCCATTTTGATGTAAAATTTCAATGATATATTAGTTTGCTTTTATGAACGTTCTGATGAAAAGGTAAATATTCATATCAGTACTTTCATTCCTGAAAGTTTACATTCATGATGTGTATTTCTTGTTTGATCTCAAGAACATCGAATGTAATAAATTGAGGATGTTATCACTGGAAATTATCACCCATAAAAACTTGAAACAACATAGGGCTAACAAGCATAATCTGAGAGGAAAAGACGACGATTTAGAGTTGAAAAGATTACCCAATGCAGTTGAAATGTCGGGAATCTCACAATCTGTAGACAATGGTGTGTTCATATCAGAACCATGAACTGTACATCGCAAGGAGACGTTCATTTGATTATTGAAGAGAACACGGTGACCAAGCAGCATTTCCAGAGAACAATTTTCGTTTTTCAGACTAGTCTCATTGAAGACAACAGAGGATATATTATATTTCTCGATGGGAATAAAAGTAGAATCAGAATGACAAACTTCCAGGGACAGAGTAGTTGTTGATGGTTCCATTGTCTTTGCGCTACAGTTGATGAAATCATCTGTTCCATATTGATATTGAGGACGAAGGTGGAGAGTTATATCAGAGACGGGAGCTGAAAATGGAAAACAAAATACTATGGAAATACTTAAATTTCTTTGATATAACCAAGGTATGCTAACGAAAACATGGAAAAGAGGTGTGTCCAATTTACCTGAAAAGTTCAAAACTGTGCTCGCGCTTTCTGTAGCGATGTGTTTGTCTACCATATCTATGGAGCATGTGTACATCCCGGACAGAGAGCAAGCATCCTTCGAAGTTGCAAAATCCAAGACAAAGGAAACATTCACGAAATACGAATCTACACTCAAAGACGCATTTATTCGATTTTCATTCAAGGTTTTGCTGCTGTTTGTGACGCTTATGATTGTTTGAGAGATTAAAGATTCGTTTTGAAAGTCTAACCGAACAGCCTCCCATTCAAAACTGCTCACATTGAAATGACACAGCAATTCTATTGTTGTTTGTATCGTAATGACATGGCTCGAAGTATCCATTACAGCAACCACTGAAAAATACGGATAATATAGGTAAAGAATTTTTGTAGACTTTGAACGTCTCAGACAAAGCATTTCAAGAAACAAAAATCAGCAAAGAAAGCTCTCAAAGAAATAAAACATCTCTTATTACTAGAAAAAGTGATATGGTCGGTAACTCCCCAATTAAACCCATGAAGACAAATTCGAGATAATACCACCTTATACTTATTGCTCATTTCAAATGATTGTAAAACACTCTAAAAGGTTTACTTCAGAAATGAAATTTAAGAAAGAAACTTCTCGTTTCTGAATCTGAAATAGCATCATTAGTAGGAATGAAACACTTTCCACAAATCAAGAGAGAAAACAATTCAACTTAATAAAAAACATTTCCAACAATGCGACTGAATTGTTATTATGAAATTGAATTAAAGTCTCCTTTGTGTTTGTGGGAGCAGTGTAACATCTCATAATGATATGCATTTTGATGTAAAATTTCAATGATATATTAGTTTGCTTTTATGAACGTTCTGATGAAAAGGTAAATATTCATATCAGTACTTTCATTCCTGAAAGTTTACATTCATGGTGTGTATTTCTTGTTTGATCTCAAGAACATCGAATGTAATAAATTGAGGATGTTATCACTGGAAATTTTCACCCATGAAAACTTGAAACAACATAGGGCTAACAAACATAATCTGAGAGGAAAAGACGACGATTTAGAGTTGAAAAGATTACCCAATGCAGTTGAAATGTCGGGAATCTCACAATCTGTAGACAATGGTGTGTTCATATCAGAACCATGAACTGTACATCGCAAGGAGACGTTCATTTGATTATTGAAGAGAACACGGTGACCAAGCAGCATTTCCAGAGAACAATTTTCGTTTTTCAGACTAGTCTCATTGAAGACAACAGAGGATATATTATATTTCTCGATGGGAATAAAAGTAGAATCAGAATGACAAACTTCCAGGGACAGAGTAGTTGTTGATGGTTCCATTGTCTTTGCGCTACAGTTGATGAAATCATCTGTTCCATATTGATATTGAGGACGAAGGTGGAGAGTTATATCAGAGACGGGAGCTGAAAATGGAAAACAAAATACTATGGAAATACTTAAATTTCTTTGATAAAACCAAGGTATGCTAACGAAAACATGGAAAAGAGGTGTGTCCAATTTACCTGAAAAGTTCAAAACTGTGCTCGCGCTTTCTGTAGCGATGTGTTTGTCTACCATATCTATGGAGCATGTGTACATCCCGGACAGAGAGCAAGCATCCTTCGAAGTTGCAAAATCCAAGACAAAGGAAACATTCACGAAATACGAATCTACACTCAAAGACGCATTTATTCGATTTTCATTCGAGGTTTTGCTGCTGTTTGTGACGCTTACGATTGTTTGAGAGATTAAAGATTCGTTTTGAAAGTCTAACCGAACAGCCTCCCATTCAAAACTGCTCACATTGAAATGACACAGCAATTCTATTGTTGTTTGTATCGTAATGGCATGGCTCGAAGTATCCATTACAGCAACCACTGAAAAATACGGAAAAGGTAAAGAATATTTCTAGACTTTGAACATCATAGAGAAAGAATTGCAAGAAAAAAAAATCAGAAAATTAAGCCATGAAGGAAATAAAGGATCTCTTACTAAATTAGAAAGTGATATGGCCAATGACTCTCTTATTTGATACATGAAGACAAATTCGAAAGGTAATTTCATTTTTTATGATTTTGTTAATTCGTACACTTTTAACTGATCTCAAAAAATGAAATGTTAGAAATTGAGGTAGCTGTCACATTATGACGCATAGCATCAACATATGCCGACGTAGGGAATACAAGACAAACACTATCGTGTACGTTGAATGCGCTGGGGACCAGTTTTAACAGGTTACGAACACGCTGAAATACGGTTTAATAAGTCGTCATGTACTTTATGAGAACCACAATTATGTGCATGTATACAATTTGCAACACATGTCAGTTCTTTAATTATGTTAAGCATCAGTTCGCTTTATGAAACAGGTATGATATTGGTAATTATTAAGCGTATGAATTCATTCATTCTATTAGCCATTTATTCAATTACGTATTTACATATGTATTTAGTCATTTATCTCTTACGTACAATTGCAAAATTAAGGTGATTTTTCCAACAGTTATTTTAAAAGCAAAGACCACTTGTTGAAAACTGACAAATCATATAGAGAGTAACAGATTGGACGAAGGCGAGACCTAAGCTCCTCCCCATTTACTTTGATCTAAGGAAAACATCGGGTAAATTGCTTTGATGGGTTCTAAACAATAGTCCTTAATTACCAGTGGTCAGAGATGTACACAGAAACTGTTAAGAACTTGCATTGTACTAGCGATGACAAAATGCGCCCAAGACAGCGAATAAACAGGAATTTTTAAAAAAGAAATGAATAAGATATCACCATAAAAAAAAAACACATTTAAATTGTTGTTGTAAGATATTATTTATTTTTTGGTATAATATAACGTAATGTTGATTTTTTTTTTTTAATTATCAAAATGATCATTAATTATTCTATCCTGCATTGTCTGGATCATTTCCCTTTTAAAATGAAAATATGATGCAAAATTTATTAAGTGAAAGAATAAGTTAGAGAATAAAATGTTTTATTTTTGGCCTGTTCATCCAGGAATGAACGATTACAGCTATTGCATATGAAAAAAATGCATAACCCGCAGAACCATTAATCAATTGTCATGTCTAAATTTTGCATAAGAATTAAAAAAAATTGTAATGGACACAGTATTAATATAAAAAGGAGGAAATTTTATTGTGATTGTTATTTGTGTCTGGATAAATAATCGTAAAAAGTAGATGAGATTACTTAAAATATCGTATTATTGAACTGTACATCACCACGATCACTGCGTATCTAAAACAGTTTAAGTTAACTGAGTTACGGGAGTGGTAAATGCTAGTGGTTTACAAAAGAAATCTAGGAGAAAATTATCAGCGTATATAAATATCAGTTAATTAAGAGAACACAACTGCTTATTTTAAACGTGTAAAATCAAAAACATATCGATATGATCGATGTTTTATTCGGGTCCTCCGTACAGACAAACATGAAGAATTGAAATATTGGAGCATTTGGGAAAGATTATTGATTAAAGATTAATAAAAAATGAAACCTTTTAAATAAGAATCTTTACTCGGCTAATTTTCTTTTCTATCAGACGTGAAATTGGAATATCACCTCAAAAATGCTCGCACAGAAGTAACCTAAAAAGTCTATAAAAATGTTATGACAGAATTTTTAGATGATTCAGTCATTTAGAAGAATTAAGGCTTAAAGTTTCTATTTACTTAAAAAATCTGTAAGAAATACCCAATAGGAAATATTTAATAAAATGAGAAAAAAAGAAACTCCTTCTTAGGATACTGAGCTTTTCAAAAAAGGACAGGATAAAACTGTGTCGTACAGTGATGTACAGGACAGAGTAGAGTGGAATGCTGTGCTGTACTATAATGTACAGTATATATGTACAGGGTAAATAGTAATGTTCTGTGAAGTACAGAAATCTGTACAGCTAAAATCTGTGACGTACAGCGGAAAGCAGTGACTGTGTACTATGGAGTATTGTGGAGTACTGTGATGTATAGTGGAGCAGTACTGTGAAGTACAGTGAGGTGTTGTGAAATGCAGTGCTTCTGTCCAGTGATGTACTGTAATGTACTAATTGTACAGAGGCAAAAACAGTAATGTACAGTAAAAGTACAGAGTGTATCAGAGATTTTCAGAGAATAATCGGAATATCAGGGAATTTTAAGTCCAGGCGACCGTTTCACTAACAAATCGTAGATCGTAAACGTACGATTACGTTTACGATTATTTTACGTGAACGTATACGAGCGTTTCACAAAACATGTCGTAGATGTAGCACTTATGATAAGCGAGTCACGACCAACTTAT